GAAAAATGATAGCTTTAAAAGGTGACTCTAAACGTAAACCGTTGTACGTTACCAAAAGTTCAAGCTCAAGTTCTGATAGTGAGAAATCAAGGTATGTTTGATTATAACATCCTTTGGCTAATTTTTAAGTGTTATTCTAATTAATTATGTGCAACAGCTCAACTTCAAGAGCCAGTTCAATCAGCTCAATTTCAAGAACATCAGTAAGCTCGACATCAAGGTGAATAAAAATTGTTATGCAATTATAAATTCTTTGGCTAACTCTCCGAATTGTCCCTAGCGATGCTACCATTCAACTTTATAAATCTGATTTGGCAAAATATCGAGAATTATGGTGGGATCAAGGGAATATTCACCCCAACGCACATTGGGATGAAGCTTCGTAAGTATTTTTCTTACCTCACTCCCTTCTTAATTTGAATCAATAACTAACATTTGTTGGATGCGTAACGTTAAGGTTGCCCTATTTATTGAAAAGTAATGTTGATTGGGAGAAATATACAGAGCGAACTGACTTCTTTAATGTACATGGAAGTTGGGAGTGGATAGACGGGAATGTTTACGTTTATGAATTGCCTTTAGGACCTCATGAGACTTGTTCTAGAGTAATTGAAAGATTGATTTGTTTGAAAGACCCAGAAATGATGCTTATTAATTTAGGATCTACGCGTAAGTGTTTAATTTTTTTTTATTTTTTCAATATTGTCCAATAATATAAATATGCTCCTGTTATTAAATAAAAGGAACAAAGGCCGGTGGTAGGGGAAAAGAAGCAGATGAATCTTTTGTACCAAAAGGCAAACCTGGAGTAAATTCAAATGGACGTGAAGGCCTTCATTCTGTATGTGGAATTTTAAATATTTTTCTTTTATCATAATCAAATTTCTAATATCAATGATTAAATTTTAGCATAAACCGTAGCCCAATCTTGCAATAGAAGTCGCCTTCTCAGAAACTGAAGACCATTTATTAAGTGCAATAAAAAATTATTGGCTCTATCCAGGTAGAGCTCATGATGCAATTGCAGTAAAATTAGTACGATCTGATACAATTATTTCAAAAATTAAAGTAAGTAATAATATGAAGATATAATTTTTTTTGGATTAATTTCTATCATTTTACGATTTTTATTTTTTTGACAGATATGGCATTTTTGCACAGATGACAGAACACCAATGGGGCACTTAGTACCAGTTTCGGTATGATAAATTATTATTTAATTAATTAATATAAAATAGGTTGATAGGAAATGATTTTAATATACTTATATATATTTAAAGGAATTTGAATTTGAAACCGTTGATGATAACGACCAAATTCTTATTGAGCCTCAACAATATAAGATTAATATTAAATTAGAATGCCTCTTTCATGGAATGTCATCAACTTTTCAAACACCTTTATCAATTCCTAATCCTCTTACCATAGATTTTTATCATGTTTTATGTGCTATGGAAGAGGAACTTAGGATTTCATAAAGTGCACTTTTTATTTTCTCTTTATATCGAAGTTGTATTTATTGATTTTAGAAAATGTAATAATTATTACCTTACTTTTATTGTATAATGCATCTGAATAATCTTCATTTTATCATGTATTTTATTTTATTTATCAATAAAGCTAGGTGGATTTATTATATATATTCACATTTACTTTTGCATGTGTATTACGTGAATTTATTTTATCATTTTTACAAGTGTATTTCTGATATATTAATTCATTGGT